AAAATTGGGATAGCGCCCTGTTCTATATATTATTTTGTCTCCTATAAAGAGTCTCGAATCCTCATGCAAACCAGTCGTTTTTGTTACTAAGTGTTACACACAGAAATAGACAGAAAATGATATTTTTCTTTATCTGTATTAAAATTTATTATAATGAATGAAACGATTTAAATGAATTTTTAAGCCTTGTGGTAGCACTAGACGGGATTCAGGACGTCAGGAATACGACATGAGGCAGTGCTAATAGATCCAGGGATTTGCAAGGGAATAAAAGTGGCGTATCGAAGCACTGGCTGAAATTGGCATGTAGTGCCCTTACAACGAATGAGAAGTCTTTGTTCCACATCCCGATACCTTGGAGGATTTGTCACACAAGCCTCTTGGTGTTGAGGGCCCTGTAAGGTCCCTGACAGTGGGCAAAAGGCACTAAGGTCCCTTTTGGTTGTAGTCCAGGTTCAAATGCACTTTAGAGTGCTCAGCGTGCAGGAGCTGATGCACTGGTGGTTGTCGGGGAGGCGCTAGAACTGGCCCCTAGGCCCCTTTTGGAACTTGAAACCCTGCAGGGTCTGATCTAGCCTTTGGGAACGAGATGCCCTAAGGGTGCAGGCACTCATTCTATATGATACGCCATAAGGAATCGAATAGAAGTACTTTTGATTCAGTCAAATGCACCACGTCGGCGTCACGACGTCAAAAAGATTCGCAGTGGCGGACGGTGTGACGTATCGACCAATGTCGGTTCTAGAACATTGGCGAGAGCTATAAAAGAAAATTGTTCGTGATTTCAATACTTCCCGGCCAGTAGGGTGATGTATTGGACGGATTGCCTTTTTAAAATTTCACAATAGAGTAATCAGTCCGACAGTTATTTCACAGGAACGATGCAAATCTATAAAATTTCCTCTAAACTCGAAGAGAATAGAACAACTGAACTGCGGAGAAGAGGCGAACGCCTGCAGCGGATCCAATTGATTATTTTGTTGGGAACAAATTCAGGAAAACTGGAAAATAACTCTATTTTACCGTTTCCCTAACTTTTAATGAGGCCTACAGAGAATTCGAACAAAAGCTAAATATTTTATAGAGAAAGAAATCCGTGATGTAATTTCCATGAAACCATTCACTGGGTACTGGAGAATTTGCTGTAGTCCGAGGTTTTTTCGATAAGAGTAATCTGAAGTGAAGATGCTATTTTATACGGGGTGTCCTAAAGGTCATAGGGCAAATGAAAAAATATCTTTCTTATCACTTCTTAATGAGACTGCCATCTCGAAAACATAAAACAATGCGTGTCGATCAGCCGGTGGCTGAAGAACAAATGACAAATACCGCGATCGCGCGCCGCATTTTTCGCGCTAGTTGTATGAACAAGCTTAAACGCAAGTTGGCGCGGGTTGGAATGCTCCAAACATAGTAAAATTTTATTTCCGAGCTTATTAGGGATACACGAAAAAACTGAGGGTATGCATTAGAAAATGAAAACTTTGAAAAATAAGGGACACCCTATTGTACGGCTATAGTTGAAAAGACGTCCCCCTAGAAATCAAAATTGACATTTCCGAGCGTTTTTCACAAGATATACCAAAAGAATCACAAATGGGTGTGCGACCTTTTCGTGGGGCCGCCCTGTATGTCCTCATGCGATTGTTCACGATTTCTCAGTTATCGCCATCTCTGAGAATTTGTAGGAAATCGCCATTTTTGAGACTTGCTATTTTTTTTCTGGAGTTATCTATTGTTATTTCTCGATCAAATTCACAGGATATCTTGTCAAACTTCAATGTAATGCAACTCTGCCCAACATAACGAAATGCCACAAGCTTTACTGTGTAGCGAACGACTGAAGAATCTTAGTGAGCATGCCGCATTTCTGAATCTCACACAATACCGTGAAACCTTTCTGCCTAAGAGTGGCTATGAAAGTTTTCCCATGTTTGCCTTTATCAAGTACAAGTTAAGCTAGCTTACTTCCTGGAGCTATTGTTAAAGGGAATTCATCATTAGCAGCATGATATGTTCCCTCTGCTCTAGTTATATTCAGCAGAAAATCGCTGTATAAAATTCCCTGCAACATCGAACAAATCGAACGAGATCAATCCGGAATATAATATGAAAACGTCCTGACCAGAAGATGAATTCTTTAATAAACAAAGAAATTTGTTCAATCAGTCGACATGCGAAGCGGAAGAATCTTATCGATGTTGTTTTCCTATATACTCAATTCCTTCGGGAAATTGAAATCTGTGTAATGAGTTATAAAAGAACTGTAACTGCATCCAAACAAAGGAATCGGGAGGGAGAGTTTGCTTTGGAATATACCGCTACAACCTTATTATGATCCAGTTCATCGCTTCTGATAAATAAGACTTTGGTAGCAGTCTTTCTAAGAAATCCAAGATGAAAAACAGCTTAATCAATGAATTATTGGAATCTTCACAAAATGAACAACCAATATATCGTTTTTGTGAATGAATGAGATAGGAGTCTTGTTGCTTTCTCGGTCGACAGTGCATCGGCTTTTAGAACGATTTCGCGTCACGTGCAAGGCTATATTAACACCGCAGAACGTTACCGCCTATAGGGTTCTTTTCCAATATCCCGAGAAGGTTGAAATTAAAAGTCAAGTTACGAAGCGATCATTTGTTCTACTCATTTTGGTGTTAACGGAGAGATCACACGAACCGTACTTCCTTCAAATACCAAAATACTACTACTCACCTTTACGCAGTTGAATATGGTCCGGTTCTCACTCGATATCCAATGAGTTCCTGCAAGAGAAAATACTAAATAATATGTGATTGTATACATATACAGGGTGTTCATTTGAAAACTTCCCACCACGGATTTATCGAGTGATATTTTCGTGTGTTTTTATTTTCTATGTGAACAAATTAAGATAAATACATATTTTTCTAATTGTCTCGAAAGCGAGTCGATTGATTTTTTAAAATCAGACGTCAGAATAGAGGACTTCGAAAGACCTCGATACCCCTTGTGATTTGAAATGTATAAGGAGATGACCCTGGGGGGCAAAGCGTGAAAGGAGGTGAAGTAGTTTTTGGTTAAAAATTTTTCACCTTTATTACGCGTCTCGGCATTTTTTCTTTCAATCGATGGTTTTCGATAATCCGTGATGGGATGTTTTCAAATGAACACCCTGTATATGGATATGCTAAGAGGAAGTAAGTATAATTATAAGAATTATAAAGTACAAAAAATCACAAAAGACGAAAAAATAAATTTTAGTAATTAGAAAATAGACACATTTATATACTATGGCCGTGAAACTGCAATGTTTGCGTATAGTATATGTATGCACATGCACCATTTTAAGCGAAATCAATGGCAGGCTTTTTTATACTGCTTAAAGTTATAATCCTTTTCGCTACGAAATTCCTGTGCACAAAGGCCTACCGACGTTGAAGTATTCCGGCGCCTGGGAAAACAGTTATCTGAGGGATAAAAATTAAATATTTTGAACATGCCGTATGGCGAAGGGTCCGTAGGACCCGAGGAGGCGGTTTGACCGCTCTTCCACTGTAATCTAAAGTGAGAACATCTCTGGTCTCGATATGTCTGTAAACATTAGCAGATTGAATGAATAATATAACATCAGCATTGCCTCCTATGAACTGCCTAGCACTTGACATGAATCTATATGTTATGGTAACGAGCTATACTTTTTTCCCGCGATTCATCACACACCGGTAGTCTGCTGGATTTCTTTCTGACCATGCACCTGGCCCTTACAGAACGGTTCTCTTGCCTCCCCCGGCTTACTTAGACCAGGCTAGGCTTCGATGAGAACCCCCTGTGTCAGCAGAAACTCACCAAGGCCCAAAAAAGGGTGTTTAGAACGCACCCTTGAGAGACTATTCACATACACAATTTATTAAAGATTACAATAAATTCCTCAAGTAGCTGGAGCTTTAGCTGAGTTATATTATCATATTCTGATTTGAAAAATGTAGCTTGTAATTGAAATCATCCTGTGTTCAAAGCCGTCTCTTTCTATCAACTATCCTTAGGCAAAATCATTGGAGGCGGAACAGCATGAAATACCTTTTTCTTTTCGTACATCATGTACAAATTAAGGTTTGTACCACAAGCTTCCTTTCTACAACGTTATCGCAACATCTGTAATGTGTCTTATTGTATGCCTTTGTCGCAGTTGTGAGGATACGAGGTCTGTATATTTAGTAATGAGACTGATTTTTTTGAATCAATTGTGATTACAATTTTATATTATCTCCCGCAGAAAAGCTTCCGCTCTTCATAGCAGTTCTGGAACCCCGATACTGGATAGCCCAAAATGCCTTCCCCTGAGGTGATTTTTCAACTGCAGGAAGAGAAAAAAATCACAAGGAGGCGAATAAGGAGGCTGAGGAGCCACAGAAATTTTTTACTGGCCAAAAACTCGTTTATTGACATTGCTGTGTGACAAGGAGCATTATCGAGATGCAACGCGCAGTTGCTTGGTCTCCCTGGAACGACCCTTTTTCGAAGATTCTCAAGAAGCTCCCGGTGAAAGTGTTGATTGACCGTTTGGCCTTGAGGTAGAAACCGGATTTTGTCAATATCTTCATCGGTTTTTGAAGATGAAGACCTTTCGATTCGTGGTACATCTTCAGTCGACTTCCTCGCTTCTGAAAACGCCTTAAACCATCGAAAAAATGTTACTCGAAATTGATATCACTCATATTTTTTACAACACAATAGAAGAAACTGTTTCACAATAAGAGTTGCTACGAAGAACAAGATGATTCGAGCGGGTTCAAACTTATACTGAATGAGGATCACATGTTCACCTGCGTCCCTTCCAAGCCCGACTCCTCCAGTATTGCCAGATCGAACGCTACGTTGCCAGTCTTACTTAGCTTACATACCTTGTAACAAAAACACACCGGCACTTTCATATATAGATAAATCTGCATCTCTTAATCTGGCGATAGAGAGGGCAAATATGATGATGACAAATGCAATAACAATAAGAAGTCTAGAAATAGTCACGATAGTGATAGCGATAGTAAATATGACGATGATAAATGCAATAACAAAAACAAGTGTAACAACAAGAGTGATGATGATGATGATGATGATGACAATGATGATAAAAGCACCAACAAAATGGTTGACAGCAACAGTAGCAGCAAAAGCGACGACAACAGCGATGATACTGATAGCAATAGGAGAGGCTGTAGTGAAGGTGACAATAATCATCATCAAGTGTCCTCACAAAGACCAACCGGTCTGGTGCATCAATGGGAAGGTGAATATGTATTTTGTTAGTGGCAATATCTATCAATTTGTTCAACTATATGACTCATCTGTAAAGTATATAGTAAAGATGACGATGATGATAATAAATGCAACAATACGTTTAGCAAGTGTAAAGATAACGATAATAGCGATAGTAAAGCAACAGCAAAAGTGTTGACAGCGACAGTAGCAGCAAAAGCGACGACTACAGTGACGAGAGCGATAACAGGAGAAGAGGGCGTAACCATGAAGATGACGATGATTCTTCAAAGACAAATCGATTTCAAACCTGCGCTGAAGGCGGATCGCATGTTCGTCTGCCTCCTCCAAGCTGGCGCCTCCATGTTATCAGATTTCATTACATACAATTTGCAGACCTCGTATTTGTAGCCCAATCTTCAGTTTCGTTCCGAAAAATCTCTCACCCGTAAACCTGCCGCCCCTTTAGGTCTGTATCCGGCTCGATGTTCGCTGTTCGTATTTAACTAGACATTAGTCCTGTAGACTCAATTAACCCTAAACAACGATTTGAAACGAGGTATACTACTAGATTTAGCATTTAATGGACAAACTCGACTTGTAAAGGGTGGCCCAAAATTAAGTTTTGAATTAAATAGGAAACAAACTTTTAAGTATTTTGTTTATTATTTTTTATTGAATCATAAAGTACTTAGGATAGGATTATGCATGGAATATCACATCGGGCAAATGGCGTTCATGGTTTTGCTGGCGCATACGTACTCTTTTGTCGAAATTTTTCATAACCTTTGCGTATAATGGTAGCTGAATTTCGTTGATCCACCGTTTAATTTTCTCTTGCAATGCACAGGTGGTTGTGGCCTTGTTGACAATATATCTTTGACTTTAAATAACCCATAAAAGATCTAGAGGGCCAATTCTGACCATCGAAACTGGAAAGTACACGACCAACAAATGTCTCATCCAGTGGTTGAATTGTTTCACTGGTTGTATGGCATGTGGCACCGTCTTGTTGAAACCACAACCATAGCATCCAATTTCAGAAGCGAGAACTCTGTTGTGATGTCGCGATATCGAGCACCAGTAACAGTCACTGCTTCACCAGCCTCATTTTCAGAAAAGTATGGTCTAAGGCGCCTCTAGCCGAAAATCCGCGACAAACATTGACACGTTGTGGGTGCATTTGTTTTTCGACAATCACACCTAGGTACTCCGAATCCGAAATGGATTTTGCTCGAAAAATCAGCATCCATTTGTTGATGTTCAAAAATCCCTTTCATGAACTCTCTTCGCTATTCATGGTCATTATGCCTGAGTTGTTGTGTCGATTGAATTTTATAACAATGGAGACACAGCTTGTTTGTGTGTATACGCTGTAGAGAGCTTCTTGAAATTTGCAATTCTTGTCCACGACGCCGAATTGACATGCCTGGATTTTCACGCACTGCTTTAACATGGACATTGGACGGCTCGTTTCTGAATCACCGGTGTGCGAAGGTTAAAACACTATTTCGGCTACATTCTGTATAGAATTTTTAAACTGGACGCTAAACTTTCATTATTTTTGAAAAAAAACACGTTATTGTATTGTATAACGCCCCCATTTTTACTAACCCTAACCTGCCAGCTGTCAAACTGTTCTTTTTTTCAGGGCTGCCTACAATTTACTGCAAACATGGCGGCAGATTCAAATCTTACGTTAATTATAAGGCACTCGTTAGTTTCTCTGAACCTCAGCGGCTTACAAAAGAAATATCCCTCTAATTCCTAATGTGCTTTGAGGGCAAAAGTACAAAAAGAAAGTGTACCGCTTTATCTCGTTTGAATTTATCGCCTACCAGCAGCAGCATCCTTAAAATAAACGCTTTCGGTCGGTTTTCTATGGGACAAAGTATCTCCAGTCCAGCGCTAAAATGCGATTAGATCCCTATCGGCCCACAATACGGCTCTGCAACGGAACGCGTATAAAAGGTAAAGTGCCTGTCTGTCCGCATTTTTATTTTCAGTTTCATTTTGCCTCTGCTCTGTCGCATTATTCGAATTATTTTATAGCGTCCGTAGCTGATGCTAGGAATTTAAATAGTAGATGTTATAAGTAGAATAATTATGCGCCTTAGAAGTGCTGCCAAAAGGATTCAGTGGACACTTAAAAATCGTCCTATGAAGCGCATTATTTCTGAAATAGTAGATGGGTGTTCTATTGACCTATATCTTGTTTTGAAGAAAGCTACCATCGCAGCCGAAAAATTGATAATGTCAAAAGTTTAGTTGCGCTAACAACTGTCAAAATCTATCAATCCGTTTGGGCTGTGGCGCTTGAAATAAAAATGCAAATTCGCCATTCTGAACGTATACAATCTTGGTATGACTGACATCAAGACAAATGTAGAAAGACCTCATATATCAGAATTCGTTTCAGCTGTTCGTTAAATAGAACCCTCATAGTTAAAGTTCTAGATACGTATCAGTCATTTTGATTCTAAAGGGTTGGTTTCTTTTTTAAATTGGTATTAACACTACACTCTTCAATAATATGTAACACTCGATACTTTATCCAAAAGAATACACCTTCCGATTATTTATGAAAAACAATTTAAGTTAAATGGCTGCCGCAGCTGGCCTGGTAGTAGTCCATTCTCTTAACCCAATTTTGAAGCACATTTTCGAGAGGGTCTATTTAATCAATAGCTCGACGGATATTTTCCTTGAAAACATCAATTGTTTGAGGATCGTTAGTGTAACAACGGTCCTTAACAGTACCCCATAGGAAGTAATCCATGGGCGTCAAATCACAGGATAACGAACGTGTCCAAAACGGCTGATAACGCGATGACCGAACTTAGTGTGTAAAAGATCGATTGTTTCTCGGCTGGTGTGGCGTGCTGCGCCATTCTGCTGGAACCAGAGATTGTGCAGGTGCATGTCATCTAATAGTGGCCACAAAAAACTCCTGAACATGTTTCTATAGCGTTCCCCGTTTACCGTCACGCTGTTACCATCTTCATCTTGAAAAAAGTAGGGACCAATAATCCAAAAGCAACACCAAACAGTTACTCTTTTTGGATGCATTAGTTTTTCTATGACGACATGTGGATTTGCTGAACCCCAACTCCTACAGTTCTGCTTGTTAACGTAACCTCCCAGATGGAAATGGGCGTCGTCCGAAAAGATGATTTGGCGACCAAAATTGACGTCCGTTTCCAAGGTCGTTAAGTAATATTCTCCGCACAGAAGTGTGACTGATGCCCACTTATTGTGCTCTGTGACGAGTTAACATTCCGAACAAGTAGTATTATCAGTTTTCTCAAAGTTTCTGCAACACTGCACATACTTTGAAAATACTTTTTCAATATTTCCCACCTTTGTTCAAGATTAGAACGATCCATTGCTCACAGCCGAAGCTTGACACAATATATCCGTCAATATGTTGAGCATGGAAGCGTTACCAACTGTCAAAACAGTACCAACTTAAAAAAAACAACTGATGGCACACGCTTTACAAAATTTTCAGATCGTATCACTCGCCCTGCCAAGAAAAGTCTCTTAAAACCTCTCAATCCATTTAAGCTGCAACCCATGAAATAGGAATATCATAGTTGAGATTCCTATCTCAAGTATGCTCTGTAATTCAACCATGGAAATATCTATATCCTTCTTACACCTCCTGTACATCTAAAACAGCTACCAATAGCATAGAACGCTCATTCCTCACTCTATCACATTAATTCATCATCCCTGGATGAATTAAAGCCTTCGGAAAGTGCAGCGAGTTTGTGCCCAACGAGCTTCGCACAGATAAAGGCCTCATCAAGTCGTTTGAACTTTCAAGTTTCGCGCCGTTAGTGACTTGCTAACAAACGGCTCTTTGAGTAATTTCTACAAATATAGCGGATTATGACGCTGGTGCAGTCCTGGAATGACAAAAAGCGTTACGCGAGTACCTCCTGTCGGTATGCGACCAAGAGGGGGTAAGCAATATACTCTGCTTTGAGAGACATCTGGTGACTGCGCCGGGCACTAATTGCATCTGTCAGTTTCATCTGATAGGCTATGAGTTGTTCATTCTATTGTTGCTCTTCCTCATCCTCAGATCGAGCAACTTGACCTATTTTGTCAAATACTTGTGAAAAGAATTGTCAATGACGCACTGTCACCGAGAAGTAATTTAATTCAAATTCAAAGTGGTAGCCAGTTAATCAGTGTTGAAAATCAGCGTAATAAGTTAATCGTAACGGAACTTTTTGGATCGTGAACGAGCTTTAGAGGAACTTTTCGGGATTTACAAAAACCTAAACATTTTCTAATATTTATTGAAAGAAATACCGACAATACCGTAATGATATCCTGACAAGGAACAAAACAAAGAGGAATATTTATAGACAATACGCGTGGTCGGTCAGGGCGATGGGATGCACCGGTGACTTTCATATGCTGACAAAGAACACTTTCCACTTCAAACAAAACAAAGAGGAATATTTATAGAAAATACGCGTGGTCGGTCAGGGCGATGGGATGCAACGGCGACTTTCATATGCTGACAAACAACACTTTCCACTTCAAACAAAACAAAGAGGAATATTTATAGATAATACGCGTGGCCGTCAGGGCGATGGGATGCAACGGCGACTTTCATACGCTGACAAAGAACACTTTCCACTTCAAACAAAACAAAGAGGAATATTTATAGACAATACGCGGGGTCGGTCGGGGCGATGAGATGCAACGGTGATTTTCATACGCTGAACCCTGCGTCTGACAGCACCGACGACAGGAGCGATATGTGATATGTTATAGCATCGTGGCTGGTGCTTGTGACGTGTTTGACTGGTGTGGTTTAGTTGCATTGACAGATGGTCGGGACTTAGGGCAGAGAAGACACTACCGTTAGCATGATCAGATGGATGGGCACTATGGAGGATGTTCTAATTGAATATGGACCTATTTGGCTGACTTGTATTTTTTGATTAGATATGCTTGGAGCTAGCTCAAACAGACTTGTGTAACGTGCCCAAAATCACGTCATCTTTTTTT